CTACTGGGGCTCGGTGCCGCCAGGTCAGCCGGAATCCTTCAAGTGGAGGGATGAGATCCGTAGCGATATCTACCCATTACATATATCATCACTGGCTTGGTTTATAAATGTAACACCAGTATTGCAAAAGAATCAGACCACCAAGCAAAATAATGAAAAAAATTCCCTTAAAAGCAATTTCAGAACTTTCTTGTTCATGACCACTGATCAGAGTACCTTGGAACTTGGAAGCACATCAATCGGCTGGGATTTTTCCAAAGTCTCTTCTTTTGTTTCTCCCCTCGTTCTATCAGACAATCTGCTATAAATACCAAAAAATGCATTTTTGCAGTCTATGTTGGTGGTAAAACTTGCTGATAAATTAATGTGATTTGTAAAGCTCTTTATTCAATTTCCACATGACACTTCCATGGGAGTTTTCTGAAATATCAACACTTTTTTCCCTCCAATATCATATTCTTGGATTGAAGCATCTTTATGGCACTGGAATGCTTTTCAATCCGTCCTGAAAAAATTCCATTCAAATTAGTTGAAGTTCAAGCATAAAATACTAAGATCTAATTCATAATTACTGATAGTTTAGAAATGATAGTAAAACTACTCAGTTGATTGAATTGCAAATTCATTAATATGCAATCCGTAATGAGGTGAAAAACTGTAAATATGTTCCTTTCTGCCCCATATTGGTGTCGATGGATTAAGAACAGCCTCGTCCCAACTCACGAATCCATGTAATTTACATGAACACATATATTAATCATTTACTATGAGGTACATCTAATTTTCATACAACATGAAAATGCGACACTTCTCTATAAATTTTTGCTCCAGATAACGATTTTTCATGGAAGAAAACTAGCATACGAAATAGAGGATTGCAAGAGGAAGGAAGATGAAAGGGATTTCATGACAGTAGTAGAATTCTCTGATGAAGATCCTTACGGAAAAGCAATAGCTTTGCTTAACCTGAAATCGGGTTTTCTCCGGGTAGATACCATTGTTTCTTCATTNTGAGAGAGAGAGAGAGAGAGAGGGAGAGAGAGAGAAGGGTGTACTACAAATCTTCAGTTTTTAGTGTGTTACACTAAATTATGATTTAATGTGAAACTGCCATTCAACTTTATTTTAGGAGGGGGCATTGGATAAAACAAAATGTTTTGACAGGCGGATTTAAAAAAAGGGATCCAAAAATCATTCTTCTTCACTTAGAGAAGAGCATTATTCTAAGATTTTACTTCCTTCAGGAGGCATGCTTTAAAAGCCGACAAAAGGCATGTTCTTCCCCTGGTAGAGTTTTAAAATGAACTATAAATATTAGTATGTTTTAAGCACACTTGAGTTAATTTTAGCTAGGTGTGTAATAAGAAGGCCCATATGAGTATTTTTAATAGTACTCTCCATTTTAGAGAGTATTTTTTTTTTTGAAATAAAAAATATCTTCATCAAAAAAATAAAATAGAGAATGAAATTTTTTATATAACTCCAATGAATTCTCTATTCTAACGAAAGAATAGTCTTTATAATCAAAACTTTTAATGAAAAAGGTATAATTCTCGTCTTATTATTCATTAATGATCGAATAAAGAGTTAAATGGAGAGAGTCAAATTAGACTCTCCAAATGTAGAGAGCTAAATTAGACTCTTTATTTTAATTAATCTAAATAGAGAGTCTATTGGAGATAAATTTTTAAGAGTTAATTCTCTAAAATAGAATTGAGAACCTATTAGAGAAGTTCTTATAGTGGTTGATTTGCTATGCAATCTCGATCTTAATAAAANTTATGATTTAATGTGAAACTGCCATTCAACTTTATTTTAGGAGGGGGCATTGGATAAAACAAAATGTTTTGACAGGCGGATTTAAAAAAAGGGATCCAAAAATCATTCTTCTTCACTTAGAGAAGAGCATTATTCTAAGATTTTACTTCCTTCAGGAGGCATGCTTTAAAAGCCGACAAAAGGCATGTTCTTCCCCTGGTAGAGTTTTAAAATGAACTATAAATATTAGTATGTTTTAAGCACACTTGAGTTAATTTTAGCTAGGTGTGTAATAAGAAGGCCCATATGAGTATTTTTAATAGTACTCTCCATTTTAGAGAGTATTTTTTTTTTTGAAATAAAAAATATCTTCATCAAAAAAATAAAATAGAGAATGAAATTTTTTATATAACTCCAATGAATTCTCTATTCTAACGAAAGAATAGTCTTTATAATCAAAACTTTTAATGAAAAAGGTATAATTCTCGTCTTATTATTCATTAATGATCGAATAAAGAGTTAAATTAGACTCTCCAAATGTAGAGAGCTAAATTAGACTCTTTATTTTAACTAATCTAAATAGAGAGTCTATTGGAGATAAATTTTTAAGAGTTAACTCTCTAAAATAGAATTGAGAATCTATTAGAGAAGTTCTTATAGTGGTTGATTTGCTATGCAATCTCGATCTTAATAAAATTTTAATTACATCTGTTGCTGTTATTGACTTAAAAATTATTAGTTTTTCACATACAGAATAAGATTGAGTACATCTGGCTTTCTTATGATCTCGCATCGACGGCGAAGGCGACTGAACTCTTCTTCCTTAGCAGCTCAAAATAATTGATATTTTNTTCTTCACTTAGAGAAGAGCATTATTCTAAGATTTTACTTCCTTCAGGAGGCATGCTTTAAAAGCCGACAAAAGGCATGTTCTTCCCCTGGTAGAGTTTTAAAANATCTTCACTTAGAGAAGAGCATTATTCTAAGATTTTACTTCCTTCATGAGGCATGCTTTAAAAGCCGACAAAAGGCATGTTCTTCCCCTGGTAGAGTTTTAAAATGAACTATAAATATTAGTATGTTTTAAGCACACTTGAGTTAATTTTAGCTAGGTGTGTAATAAGAAGGCCCATATGAGTATTTTTAATAGTACTCTCCATTTTAGAGAGTATTTTTTTTTTTGAAATAAAAAATATCTTCATCAAAAAAATAAAATAGAGAATGAAATTTTTTATATAACTCCAATGAATTCTCTATTCTAACGAAAGAATAGTCTTTATAATCAAAACTTTTAATGAAAAAGGTATAATTCTCGTCTTATTATTCATTAATGATCGAATAAAGAGTTAAATTAGACTCTCCAAATGTAGAGAGCTAAATTAGACTCTTTATTTTAACTAATCTAAATAGAGAGTCTATTGGAGATAAATTTTTAAGAGTTAACTCTCTAAAATAGAATTGAGAATCTATTAGAGAAGTTCTTATAGTGGTTGATTTGCTATGCAATCTCGATCTTAATAAAATTTTAATTACATCTGTTGCTGTTATTGACTTAAAAATTATTAGTTTTTCACATACAGAATAAGATTGAGTACATCTGGCTTTCTTATGATCTGGCATCGACGGCGAAGGCGACTGAACTCTTCTTCCTTAGCAGCTCAAAATAATTGATATTTTTGAACTTTGTTTGGCTACTCAAGTGTTGCTGTCAAATTTTAAGGAAAAAAGCAAATGTATTAAAAGGTGTTCTCTCTCTCCAGCATGTATTTGATATGAGAATAGTCATCCACCATTGATACAAAAGTCAAAATAGTGAAATGTACAAAACTGAAAGAGACAAGAAGTAAGAAAATTTTACAGCGTAAAAGTGAAAAATAAAATATATGGTCAGGAGTCTCTGTGCAATAACATATAGAAAGAAGTCAAAGAACAGCTGACAATATTTTCCATCAGCCAAAAAACAGAGTCTCTCGAAGTTGGGATTAGTAAAGTATTGCTACACACCCAAACNAATGAACTATAAATATTAGTATGTTTTAAGCACACTTGAGTTAATTTTAGCTAGGTGTGTAATAAGAAGGCCCATATGAGTATTTTTAATAGTACTCTCCATTTTAGAGAGTATTTTTTTTTTTGAAATAAAAAATATCTTCATCAAAAAAATAAAATAGAGAATGAAATTTTTTATATAACTCCAATGAATTCTCTATTCTAACGAAAGAATAGTCTTTATAATCAAAACTTTTAATGAAAAAGGTATAATTCTCGTCTTATTATTCATTAATGATCGAATAAAGAGTTAAATTAGACTCTCCAAATGTAGAGAGCTAAATTAGACTCTTTATTTTAACTAATCTAAATAGAGAGTCTATTGGAGATAAATTTTTAAGAGTTAACTCTCTAAAATAGAATTGAGAATCTATTAGAGAAGTTCTTATAGTGGTTGATTTGCTATGCAATCTCGATCTTAATAAAATTTTAATTACATCTGTTGCTGTTATTGACTTAAAAATTATTAGTTTTTCACATACAGAATAAGATTGAGTACATCTGGCTTTCTTATGATCTGGCATCGACGGCGAAGGCGACTGAACTCTTCTTCCTTAGCAGCTCAAAATAATTGATATTTTTGAACTTTGTTTGGCTACTCAAGTGTTGCTGTCAAATTTTAAGGAAAAAAGCAAATGTATTAAAAGGTGTTCTCTCTCTCCAGCATGTATTTGATATGAGAATAGTCATCCACCATTGATACAAAAGTCAAAATAGTGAAATGTACAAAACTGAAAGAGACAAGAAGTAAGAAAATTTTACAGCGTAAAAGTGAAAAATAAAATATATGGTCAGGAGTCTTTGTGCAATAACATATAGAAAGAAGTCAAAGAACAGCTGACAATATTTTCCATCAGCCAAAAAACAGAGTCTCTCGAAGTTGGGATTAGTAAAGTATTGCTACACACCCAAACCAATATACCATTCTCATGATCTCATCAGGCACACACAAGAACAAACATTATCAAATTGCCAAACAACCCCACTGATCAAAACTAAACACTATAAACTAACTGCACAATATTATAGTAAAATAAAATTTACATCCAACAAAATTTTAACAAGAAAAACTCCTATGATGGGATAACTAAAGAATGGTTAATCATAACCTCAAGGGGTAGCTCATTGGAGATAGGATGACCCGTAAACTTATACATTTTCAATTTAAAATTTAACAATTATGTTGCCTTTCTGTGTTCTATAGACTTGTATGTAACTAATCATGAAAGATTAATCAAGTCTGTCTTTGATTAGTTAGAAAAGGAGGTAAGTTGGCTCAAACACTACTCGTTAGCATACCAAAAAAAAGTAGTTAAACANTAGACTCTCCAAATGTAGAGAGCTAAATTAGACTCTTTATTTTAACTAATCTAAATAGAGAGTCTATTGGAGATAAATTTTTAAGAGTTAACTCTCTAAAATAGAATTGAGAATCTATTAGAGAAGTTCTTATAGTGGTTGATTTGCTATGCAATCTCGATCTTAATAAAATTTTAATTACATCTGTTGCTGTTATTGACTTAAAAATTATTAGTTTTTCACATACAGAATAAGATTGAGTACATCTGGCTTTCTTATGATCTGGCATCGACGGCGAAGGCGACTGAACTCTTCTTCCTTAGCAGCTCAAAATAATTGATATTTTTGAACTTTGTTTGGCTACTCAAGTGTTGCTGTCAAATTTTAAGGAAAAAAGCAAATGTATTAAAAGGTGTTCTCTCTCTCCAGCATGTATTTGATATGAGAATAGTCATCCACCATTGATACAAAAGTCAAAATAGTGAAATGTACAAAACTGAAAGAGACAAGAAGTAAGAAAATTTTACAGCGTAAAAGTGAAAAATAAAATATATGGTCAGGAGTCTTTGTGCAATAACATATAGAAAGAAGTCAAAGAACAGCTGACAATATTTTCCATCAGCCAAAAAACAGAGTCTCTCGAAGTTGGGATTAGTAAAGTATTGCTACACACCCAAACCAATATACCATTCTCATGATCTCATCAGGCACACACAAGAACAAACATTATCAAATTGCCAAACAACCCCACTGATCAAAACTAAACACTATAAACTAACTGCACAATATTATAGTAAAATAAAATTTACATCCAACAAAATTTTAACAAGAAAAACTCCTATGATGGGATAACTAAAGAATGGTTAATCATAACCTCAAGGGGTAGATCATTGGAGATAGGATGACCCGTAAACTCATACATTTTCAATTTAAAATTTAACAATTATGTTGAAGTCAGATCATGAAAGATTAATCAAGTCTGTCTTTGATTAGTTAGAAAGGGAGGTAAGTTGGCTCAAACACTACTCGTTAGCATACCAAAAAAAAGTAGTTAAACATATAACATTTGCAAAAACTATACAGAGAATTCAATAATCACATTCACAACATAAACCACTCTAATAAAGTAGTTAAACATATAACATTTGCAAAAACTATACAGAGAATTCAATAATCACATTCACAACATAAACCACTCTAATGTTCTCATCAATGTATTCTCAACAAAAACAAACTGCCCAAACAAACAAAACTAATGCACTAAACACCATAAATTTGCACAAAAAAACCACAATTTGCACAAACCACTATGCTATAATGTTCTTATTAGTTTCTCAAGAAGTGAACAACAAGAAAAAAAAATCACACAGAAGCCTGAGAACCCTTGGATGCAACATCCTAACCCTCTTGATTTAACGCGCCACCACTTTGCCTCACATCCATCGCCGCGCTCACCGCCTGATATTGCGGCACCACCCCTCCTGGTGCAGTGTAGTACACCTGCCTCCCTGCCCCGTCATAGCCAACCTGCGCATACCCCGCCTCCGTCACCCCAATTCCGCCGCTCATTTGCGGCCGTACCATTCCAATGGCTTCGCTGTAGCCTCCAATTTTCGGTTGCTGAATCGATTGCTGTGGGACCAGATTGTACATTGGTTGTTCTCGGTAAACCTCCGGTACTACTCTTTGCATCCCATAGTAACCCTGGCCGACTTGTCCGGTCACCGGACGCATTGCCGGAGCCTGATACATACCAGCCGCCGTAGGAATCAGATAAACCTGCTGTTCATTTCCCGGCGCTGCCGCCATAGGGTAAATNTGTTTGTCTAGATCGTGATTATCTAGAATTTGTGTTGCGTATTTATAACTTAAAAACTAATATTATACTAATCAAATTTGTTAAATTAATATAAAGTAATTGACTTAGTAGATCCTATTTCTTTTTATTAATCACCTGATGACTATCAATATGTATTATTAGACAAAAAGAATTTGAGAATATAATTAGAAGTTTAGCAAGTTAAGTTTAATTTTTGAAAATTCAGAATTGTGTTAGTCAGTCGCTGATTACGAAAGAATAGTCTTACAACAAATCAAAAAAAATCGAAATGAGTTATTTATTCTTTAAATTTATCGGAATACTTCATTATTTGTTCAACAAAGTTATAATATTTTGAATATATATTGGGAAATAATTAATTTAAATCCATTAATTTTATGTCAATTTATATTATGCTAATATATTGTGGTGAAAATTATAACTAAGATCTACTTCTATGATATCATGCCAAATGAATTGTGATGTCCCAATCTAAAACCAGATGAGTCTGATTGTATAGCTAATATCGAATTCCACCAACTAGGAGAGACGCGACCTCAGAGGATTCAGATCTGCGGAGTAGAAAGATAAAGCTGATGCGTGGAAGGGAGAGTCGAAAATGATTCGAGTGCCACTCAAACAAATATATATATATATATATAATGCAAATAAATAAATAAAATTGAATAAAGAAACGAGATAATCGTTATTGAAAGGAAACGAGATGTCCGCCGTCGATGACTCGGCAAATCGCTTTCTGGACCACTTGTTCTTCTTGAGTTTTCTATTGGGGCCCTTAGCAGTGGCCCTGCTTTCTACACGAATATAAAAGAGTGAGATAAGCAATGGGGCTTCGGATTAGTGTCTAACTACATTAATTGTCTTATATTTATTGTTTATGTTAATAAGTCTTAGTCTTTAGGAATTAGTTAATTATGTTTGANGATGGGCCTTCGGATTAGTGTCTAACTACATTAATTGTCTTATATTTATTGTTTATGTTAATAAGTCTTACTCTTTAGGAATTAGTTAATTATGTTTGAATTATTCTCATCCACTTTCCACGTTCTTAGGGTTGTTAAATGTGGGCTGTTTATGCTTTGNGATATGTATTATTAAACAAAAAGAATTTGAGAATATAATTAGAAGTTTAGCAGTTAAGTTTAATTTTTGAAAATTCAGAATTGTGTTAGTCAGTCGCTGATTACGAAAGAATAGTCTTACAGCAAATCAAAAAAAATCGAAATGAGTTATTTATTCTTTAAATTTATCGGAATACTTCATTATTTGTTCAACAAAGTTATAATATTTTGAATATATATTGGGAAATAATTAATTTAAATCCATTAATTTTATGTCAATTTATATTATGCTAATATATTGTGGTGAAAATTATAACTAAGATCTACTTCTATGATATCATGCCAAATGAATTGTGATGTCCCAATCTAAAACCACATGAGTCTGATTGTATAGCTAATATCGAATTCCACCAACTAGGAGAGACGCGACCTCAGAGGATTCAGATCTGCGGAGTAGAAAGATAAAGCTGATGCGTGGAAGGGAGAGTCGAAAATGATTCGAGTGCCACTCAAACAAATATATATATATATATATAATGCAAATAAATAAATAAAATTGAATAAAGAAACGAGATAATCGTTATTGAAAGGAAACGAGATGTCCGCCGTCGATGACTCGGCAAATCGCTTTCTGGACCACTTGTTCTTCTTGAGTTTTCTATTGGGGCCCTTAGCAGTGGCCCTGCTTTCTACACGAATATAAAAGAGTGAGATAAGCGATGGGCCTTCGGATTAGTGTCTAACTACATTAATTGTCTTATATTTATTGTTTATGTTAATAAGTCTTACTCTTTAGGAATTAGTTAATTATGTTTGAATTATTCTCATCCACTTTCCACGTTCTTAGGGTTGTTAAATGTGGGCTGTTTATGCTTTGCTTTCGGTTGTAAAAGGCTTATATATAAGCCAAAGTTTCTGTTCAATAAAAGTGTGTTTTATTCTCCCAATTGAGTGGGTTTCTTGTGCAACTGATAATCAAGTTTCAATAATTGGTATCAGAGCCGACTGTGAGGCCTAATTGAGTGAGGTTAAGAATCTGCAGAATTCTTAAAGAGAGAAAACTGTGAGTGAAACACGAGAGAAAGAAAGATGAGAGAGAACAAGGAAAGCACGAAGTATAGCAGCGGAAGGAAACTTTGTACTACCTGCAATCCCTAGGTTTGATGGTCACTATGACCATTGGACCATGTTGATGGAGAATTTTCTCCGATCCAAGGAGTACTGGAGTTTGATTGAAGTTGGGATACTTGCAGATGCAACAGGAGTTGAGCCAACTGAGGCACAGAGGAAGGCAATGGAGGATCANGATGAGTCTGATTGTATAGCTAATATCGAATTCCACCAACTAGGAGAGACGCGACCTCGGAGGATTCAGATCTGCGGAGTAGAAAGATAAAGCTGATGCGTGGAAGGGAGAGTCGAAAATGATTCGAGTGCCAACCAAACAAATATATATATATATATATATATAAAGAATGCAAATAAATAAATAAAATTGAATAAAGAAACGAGATAATCGTTATTGAAAGGAAACGAGATGTCCGTCGTCGATGACTCGACAAATCGCTTTCTGGACCACTTGTTCTTCTTGAGTTTTCTATTGGGGCCCTTAGCAGTGGCCCTGCTTTCTACACGAATATAAAAGAGTGAGATAAGCAATGGGGCTTCGGATTAGTGTCTAAGTACATTAATTGTCTTATATTTATTGTTTATGTTAATAAGTCTTAGTCTTTAGGAATTAGTTAATTATGTTTGAATTATTCTCATCCACTTTCCACGTTCTTAGGGTTGTTAAATGTGGGCTGTTTATGCTTTGCTTTCGGTTGTAAAAGGCTTATATATAAGCCAAAGTTTCTGTTCAATAAAAGTGTGTTTTATTCTCCCAATTGAGTGAGTTGCTTGTGCAACTGATAATCAAGTTTCAATAATTGGTATCAGAGTCGACTGTGAGGCCTAATTGAGTGAGGTTAAGAATCTGCAGAATTCTTAAAGAGAGAAAACTGTAAGTGAAACACGAGAGAAAGAAAGATGAGAGAGAACAAGGAAAGCACGAAGTATAGCAGCGGAAGGAAACTTTGTACTACCTGCAATCCCTAGGTTTGATGGTCACTATGACCATTGGACCATGTTGATGGAGAATTTTCTCCGATCCAAGGAGTACTGGAGTTTGATTGAAGTTGGGATACTTGCAGATGCAACAGGAGTTGAGCCAACTGAGGCACAGAGGAAGGCAATGGAGGATCAGAAATTGAAAGATTTAAAAGTGAAGAATCATCTCTTTCAATCTATTGATCGGATTGTCATGGAAACTATCTTGAATAAAGAGACTGCGAAGAGCATATGGGAATCAATGAAACAGAAATATCAAGGATCTACCAAGGTGAAACGTGCTCAATTGCAAGCTCTTCGGAGAGACGTCGAGGTTCTTGGAATGAAAGAAGGTGAGAGTGTTGATGATTATTTTGCAAGGACTCNAATGGGGCTTCGGATTAGTGTCTAAGTACATTAATTGTCTTATATTTATTGTTTATGTTAATAAGTCTTAGTCTTTAGGAATTAGTTAATTATGTTTGAATTATTCTCATCCACTTTCCACGTTCTTAGGGTTGTTAAATGTGGGCTGTTTATGCTTTGCTTTCGGTTGTAAAAGGCTTATATATAAGCCAAAGTTTCTGTTCAATAAAAGTGTGTTTTATTCTCCCAATTGAGTGAGTTGCTTGTGCAACTGATAATCAAGTTTCAATAATTGGTATCAGAGTCGACTGTGAGGCCTAATTGAGTGAGGTTAAGAATCTGCAGAATTCTTAAAGAGAGAAAACTGTAAGTGAAACACGAGAGAAAGAAAGATGAGAGAGAACAAGGAAAGCACGAAGTATAGCAGCGGAAGGAAACTTTGTACTACCTGCAATCCCTAGGTTTGATGGTCACTATGACCATTGGACCATGTTGATGGAGAATTTTCTCCGATCCAAGGAGTACTGGAGTTTGATTGAAGTTGGGATACTTGCAGATGCAACAGGAGTTGAGCCAACTGAGGCACAGAGGAAGGCAATGGAGGATCAGAAATTGAAAGATTTAAAAGTGAAGAATCATCTCTTTCAATCTATTGATCGGATTGTCATGGAAACTATCTTGAATAAAGAGACTGCGAAGAGCATATGGGAATCAATGAAACAGAAATATCAAGGATCTACCAAGGTGAAACGTGCTCAATTGCAAGCTCTTCGGAGAGACGTCGAGGTTCTTGGAATGAAAGAAGGTGAGAGTGTTGATGATTATTTTGCAAGGACTCTCACCATAGCAAATAAAATGAAAGCTCATGGTGAGCAAATGGAGCAGATTGTTATAGTGGAGAAGATCCTGAGATCAATGACACCAAGGTTTGATTATATGGTGTATTCCATTGAAGAATCAAATGATCTTGCAACCATGACTATTGATGAACTTCAGAGCAGTTTATTAGTGTATGAGCAGAGAATGAGAGGTCACAAGGAAGAAGCACATGCTTTGAAGGTCACAGGTGGAGAAAGGTTTGAAGCAAGGGAGGATGACAGAGTTGGAGGTAGAGGAAAGCTCGTGGAGGCTATAGAGGCAGAGGAAGAGGCCGAGGGAAGTAGCCACTCAACAGAGCCATCATCGAGTGCTACAAGTGTCATAAATTAGGGCATTTTTAGTATGAATGCCCTAATTGGGAGAAAACTACCAACTACGCAGAGCTTGATGAAGAAGAGGAAATGCTCCTCATGTCATATGTGGAACTTCATAACTCAAGAAAATAGGAGGTATGGTTTCTTGACTCTGGTTGTAGTAACCATATGAGTGGTAATAAGCTTTGGTTTTCAAATTTGGATGAAAGCTTAAGCTAGTCTGTAAAGCTAGGAAATAATTCTAGAATGGTTGTGATGGGA